ATCTACTATAACTGCTTCATGGAGACACCAAGTTCCTCCTAATCAGGTCTATAACTGTGTCAGATGTGTGTGCTGTCATAACAAAATTAGTTCCTGTTGGGAGATCCAGCTTCCCAAGTTTTGTACCAGATAAAGTGAAATAAGAAGTAACTAAATCTGCTGAAGAGAAGAACATTTTCTCTTTAGTGTTTGCTTTCATAATTACTAATGGAAAAAGCAAAATAGCAGATATAATTGTGTTTCAGACTACTTTCCCAGATTTATTCTTGTTGCAAAAGAAACATTTGTCAGTGGTGGATTCACAATATTGCACCTTAAATACGTGGGTGATCACTTGCAGTTGAAAATGCATCATAGCTCAGACTCAGAGTTAAACAAACCTGGGTGAATAATGCACAAAGTGATTTGGCTTAAATTCTTAAGTTTTATTTTCTGGCGCTACAGACTGTGTTTGCTTGTAAAATTGCATTTCATTCAATATATTTTCTTACAAAATGTAATTCATTCACCACCTCTAATACTGCTAGTTAGTAGTGGTTGACCTGTAATTCTGCAAATGCAGAGCACAATGCTGTAGAAATGATCCATAATTAAATGGACCATAATTAAATGTAACTGTGGACCTCACTAAAACCCAAGAGTAGATTTGTCTTGTGATCACCTGTGATTTTAGTTTTGATATCAATCTCCCCTCGAGTGTGAGCTAAATCCTGACTCCTAATGCTTTCTCATTTTCTGGCAGTTCTGGATGTTTTCTAATCAATCTGTTTAGAGATGAAATTACACACACGAATTGAACCCAGCCCCCTGGTTCAGAGGCAGGGACACTACCACTGTACCACAAGAACACTAGCAATGCATGGTGTGCTTTAATTTTTAAATATTAACACTTTTTTTCTGTTCACCATAATTAAAGTAGTGAAGGAGCCAGTCTTCGTTCTTAAAATCCTAAGAAACATGATGGGCAGACTCTTTCTAGCAACTGAACGACTTGGACATTGGCGAATAAGTTGGAAATTTGAGTGAGGTCTGATGTGTGGAGATTCCTGACATTGAAGAACAAAATAGAAAATCAAGTATTGAATGGCAAGATGAGATTCCCACTAGTGAGTAGGGAAGGACCTTCTTTGCATATATTGATATCATAAATATTAGATCGTCTCACCTCATTAGTACACAGTTTCTTTTTCTCCCATTTGCTAGATAGAAACTAGATAGTGACAATTTCCAACATGTAAGTCGAACAGTAATTTGGTAACCCCAGCTTTCCGCCTGCTCCTCCATTTCATCTTGAACACTGCCATCAATGTTCCAAGGACAGTGACAGCACGCATCCCCTGCCACCACGCTTAGCTATCCTGTACAGTTCCAATCAATTACCCCAGATGTGTCAAAGATGGCACAAATGCCAGAAATCCTGGGACGTCCCACCTATAGCATGTGGGAGAATACAACAAGCAGGGAACCATAGCGGCATGGTGCATAGGCAATGAGAAGATAATGTGAGAAAATTCGGTAAAGTCCAGGAAGAAAACTCTGTGAAACTTGCCAAAATTGACACAGCTAATTCTGGCAAAGTTCAGTCTGATATTCTCTCAAAGGTGCCAAGTCTTCCATTCTAATACCATGCAATATAAACAGATTCTCAATTTTAGTTTATGACACACTGCAAACTTAACTTTCTTTCTAAGTCTCTGAACGTGAAGGTTCAGTTACGCTGCAGTTTAACCTAATGCCTTGTAAAATCTGAAACCTTGATTTCTTGTTCACCCACTGCCCCGATTATGTTCAAGCTTTTGGAAAGAGGTCACTGAGCTTTGTGATCTTTGAATACTGTTTAACTCAGTCCCACATGGCTGGCTGAATTTTTAATATCCTTTGTCATTAACTTTATGTGCTGACCGTGTATTTTGCCATTAACCAGAGTATTTCCTGTTTAAGCTCAAAATCATTTTGCAAGTGAAAAGCTTTCCCATTTTTCTTTAAATCTCATACCATTTGGCAAATGACATTTTAATGCTGCTCTTAGTGACTTAACCCTTGACAGCATAAGTTGTGTAATTATTATAGTAATTTACTAGCCAACTTTTAATTTGTGCAAAGTTGTTTCTGTGGCAATTGGTCATAAATTAAAGGTGATTTATAATTATTTTCTGTCATTGGACATGATGCATTTAGACAAAGCATTTGATATAACTGGAAAAATTCACTGTTTAAGAATAGAAAATATTGCAATACACAACATTCCAAGCTCAGTCTCAACCCACAAAGTATTCCATCTTTTTAAGGTGCTGACTAAATATTTCTAGCATTTTTTTCTGTTTTTGCTAAGTTATATTTGTTTAATATAGTCAGCTGTCATAACTGCAGACTGCACTATAGCAAGTTCTGGTTGTCCTATTACAGGAAGGTTATTAAGCAGGAGAGGGTTCAGAGAGATATACTAGAATGTTGCCAGGACCGGAAGGTTTAAGTTATAAGGAGAGGCTGGATAGCTTGGGACTTTATTCACTGGAGCATTGGAGGTTGGGAGGTTATCTTAGAGGTCTATAAAATCATGGAGGATATAGATAAGATGAATGGTAGGTGTCTTTTCCCTATGGTGGGGGATTTCAAGATTATGGGGCATATTTTTAATGTGAGAGAAGAAGGATTTAAAAAAGACATGAGGGGCAACTTTTTTTTTTCCCCCAGAGTGGGTCATGTGTGGAATGAACTTTGAGAGGAATTGGTGGATGTGGGTACAGTTACAACTTTTAAAAGACATTTGGATAGATACATTAGAAATGTTTGGAGAGCTATGGGCCAAGCGCAGGCAGGTGGGACTAGTTTAGTTTGGGATTATGGTCAGCATTGACAGGTTGGACCGAAGGGTCTGTTTTCGTGCTGTATGACTTTGACTCAATGAGCACATGACAGCTTCCAGGGCCATCTTTTATATTGGTCCACATTTACTGTGGTTCAGACTTTGAATTTAATTTGTCTAACATTTAGACAAATTGAATTCAGCCATCAAATGACCAGGTCTCTCCTAATGTTGCAATTGAATCTGCATTCATTATGTAGTTAACTGCACCTGTGCTGTCCAGGAGTGGAATATAATAAGTCAGCAGCGTAACAGTACAATGTGTCAAACTTGCATTACTTTTACACTGGAAGGAAATTAAAGTATGTATCTAACTGATGACAGGACTGTATTTGTGTTTTAAATTAAGGTTAATTGCATTGCTTCTGTCAACAGTATGCTATGTAGCATTTATTATTTAGTGACGAAAAGGATAACACAAGTTTAAAAACTCCAGAAGACAAGCAATTAATGGCTCTGAAATCGTCTGATATAGTGTTGCATGACCTGAAGTCAGGCTGACTCAAAGTATTGGATACTATGACTTGATTCTAATCTTTCTTCTAAATTAATGCTATCTATAAATGTTTGACTTTTTGCACTGAGGTGAGATTGAAGTTGTATTTGAAGACATACCTATAAAATTATTTAAAACTTAACACGTAGAGGAGTCTGTTAGTCATTTCCCCTGGAGTTAAAAAGCATTTTTTAACTTATCGTTGAGTTAAAGATGAAGTCCCATCCTAAGCGAGTTGTGACTTGATTGTTTTCCATTCATGGGAAAATATTTCTGATACAATAAATTGAGAAGGTAACCAACACGTAAAGCAACCTCTTTACTTCTGGCCAAATAAAAGGAATCCTTCATACGTGTCATCATATCAGTTACTGTGGCTTCCACAAAGAAGACCTTTAAATGTAGTATACATTGCACACAAACAATGTCTGGGAAATGGAAATACTGGTAGGGAATTTCTTTTCAGCTTCATTGTAGCTTACCAGATCTTTCCAGCCAAAAAATAAAGGGAATTCTCTGAAGAATCAACCCGAAGCGTCGGCCTTCCTGCTCCTCTGCTGCTGCTTGGCCTGCTGTGTTCATCTAGCTCTACACCTTGTTATCTCAGATTCTCCAGCATCTGCAGTTCCTACTATCTCTGAAATGTTTTTGACTGTTTGTTCAGTGTGTTTGAACTGCATTGTGGTTTTGGTTTGCGGATAATGGATAATGTGGGTTTAAATTGCTTTGTGAAAAACAGTAAAAAGATGTTTCATGGACCAACAACAGCTGGGCAAACATTTTTAGATGAAAACTTTGCCACTGAAATGGGCGATCATTGTAAGAACACGAGGCATAGGATCATGGCTGATCTGGTCTTGGGTCAACTCTACTTTCCCCTTGTTACCCTATAAACCAAGATTCTATCTATCTCTGGCTTGAATATATTCGGAGACTGGGCCCCTGCAACACTCTAGGGCAATAAATTCCAAAGATTGACCATGAGAGAAGAAATCCCCCCTTGGTTTTAAACAGTTGATCCATTATGCTGAAACTAGATTTCTGCATCCTCTCAGTATCTACCTGTCAATTCCCCTCAGAATCTTGTGTTTCAATACCTCTTGTGCTTCTAAACTCCATGATGTATGGGCCCAGCCTGCTCAGTTGTTCCTAATAAGTCCATCCCTTCACCCCAGGAGTCAACCTAGTGAACTGCTCTGAACCACCTCTACATCCCCTTTAAATAAGCATACTAAAACATTGTGCATTATCCTGAGTGTGATCTTCCAATGCATAGTGTAGTGTAACGCACAGAAGTAAGATTAAGATTAGTTTAAAAACTGGTTGAGTGGGAAGCGAAGAAATGTAAATATTACAAACACGTGCCGAGTTTTAGTATTATTTTGGCAAGTTTCTGTTGAGTTTTCAGTCGAACTGCTTTGATGGGAGAAGGAGGGATAGAATCAATAGGAAGTCTTTTCTTAAAAGTATGATTCGCACCCTGTCAGTCTGTGGTTTTGGTTTGGAGCATAGGCAGGGGGAAATGCAGAAACTGTAATGGAAGAAAGCAGGATGAGGGAATAAAGTGCTTTTGAAGTGACTTACTAATTCATATATAATTATATAACTAGAGGTTTTTTGAAATGTTTTAATTAATAGATATATCCCGCCCCTGATCTGGGGAAAGAGTGGACATGTACAGACAGCATTATATGGTAAAATGGGACGTGTAAGCTCTCCTCATCCTTATGGTCTCCGTAAGTATCTCTCTATGCCTGATGGAGCGACTGCAACGTGGGATCTTTTTGAGCCGTTGGCAGAGCATAACACTGGAGGTAAGTGAAATGAATGGAAAAATTGGCAAAGATTACTGGAATTAACTTAGTATTGCCTTTCTTTTGTACGTGGATGCAAAGGCAAGAAAATGAAAGGTTTAAATTCTAGTTGGGTTAGTTGATCTCTGCCGCAGCAGTGGCAAAGGGCATAGGATTCTGCTCCTGCCTTTTGTCCAGCACCTCTTGTGAACAGTTCACATGGGGTCATTGCGTGAGGGGCAGGAATCTGTTCACCAGGTGTTGTCCTTTAAAGGAAAATAAAATGTGCATAAGTTCAGGCCCCACCTGAACAACTGTATACTGTTCTGCTTACCTAATCAAGGTACTGATGTTCATGAGTGATCAGAAGTTTAATAATGAAAGCAGGGTGTTCAGTTAGAGGAGAAGTGTAATTAATTTGGGCTTGTATGCCATAGAAAAGCAAAGTCTAACATTAGGTTTGCAAGGTTCAAAAGAAATTGGTAAAGTTGATGCAGGCCATTTTTTTTTTATTTTACTGAAACATTGTCAAATACCAAGAACACATTAAACATTGAGCTTTTTCTCTTCATTCCTAGACTGCTGATAAGACTAGTGTTAATTACTCATCTGAAAATTTTTTGTCAGTTTGAGGTTTTTCAAATTCATTCATTAATTGTAGGTGTCACTGGCTAAGTACACTTGTTTTATTGCGCATCCCTAATTGCTCAGAGGGCATTGCTGTGGGTCTAGAGACATACCAGCTAAGGACAGCAGTTTCCTTCCCGGAGGGCCATTAATGAACCACATCAGTTTTCCCAACAATTGACAAATTCTTACATGCCGTTTTTTTTTTTTTCCTTTTTTTTTCTTTCTTTAAAATTGACGTCAAATTCCACCATCTACCGTGGTAGGATTTGAATCCGGGTCCCCAGAACATTACCTGGGTCTCTGGATTAATAATCAAGAAGTAATACCACTAGACCATCACACTCCCCTTGAGATAAGGAAAGTAGAGCGGAATATTTTCAATCGAGGGTGTTGAATTGTGGAATTATTCACCATTGATGGCATCCAGGTGCAGTCCAAATAAGGTCTGGAGAAGGAACATTGGGATTAAGATAGTGTAGAGCTAAAAGAGGCTGGTATCAAGTGGCATTCGTAGTTCAAACAAAAAAGATTTAAGAATTGATATGTTGTATAAAATGATTGTGAGTTGATAATTAAATGAAACTCTCAGTATTTAAGCTCATTTTGCTATATTCCTATGTTTGCTAGAGGACATTACTATGGTGATTTGTCCTGGGATAGCCAATCACAGTGAAAAACAGTATATCCGAACATTTGTCGACTATGCGCAGAAACATGGCTACCGATGTGCTGTTCTTAACCATCTTGGTGCTTTACCTAACATTGAGCTCACCTCGCCTCGTATGTTTACATATGGTAAGTAAGTTTTCAGCCGAACATTCCTCTGTAGGAGAGAAATGTGTTTTACAGAAATGATTTTGGGATATACTGTTTAATGGCTATGTCTAATACAATTTTGTATGTGTGAAACAACGTTTTGTCCAGAGTTCATTTACCTTAACTGAAGTTTCCATTTCAATGGAAACAAGTTATTTCGTTCATCCTTCACTTCAACAGCAGCAACTATTGGCATTTATATCATGACTTTAGCTTATTAAAGTGGTCTAAGATGCCATTGTGAGCGTAATCAGCATTAAGGCCTTCTGATGTTGTTGCAGAAAACTGGAAGCCACATCTTTCAACAGAATTGATTTTGTCAACTTTGGTGAAATGCAACCAGCTAGAATGTTGTGTAACTCGCCAGTAGCACACATTCTTTGATTTGGGGGGAGGGGGTGCAAGGCGGATCAATTCTGAGGGCCTTTCGTAAGCTGTTGAGTCTTTGGCTGCTTCTCTTCAGTGGCTTTGAGATGACATCAAGGAAAAAAGGTTTAAATTTTTTTTGTTTTTCTGCTCGGTAGTTTTCTAGCTCATAGGCAGACTTTATAGAGAACTTTCTGTACTGGACACAAGGTGCTGTTGTCATGGTGTTATTTTTCCCACAAATGTAGTAATAATTCCTATTTGAATTTCACACTTGATTTTAACAGTAGGTTCTGTTACTTGGATTGTGCATAAAACAAATATAGTGCAATAAAAATGCTGAACTGATTAAATCTTTTTGGTGGCCCATTGCGTTTGTCAGGAAGCCCACGTTTATTACAGCTCTAATACTTCATTTTCTCTTGCGCTGAATTTGGAGTACTGCTAAAATGAAATTTTGTAGACCGTATTTAAAACACACAAGTCTTAATGATTTTGTGTGTTACTATGGCACAATGGCCACCACTGCTGCCTCATAGCATTAGGGACCCAGATTCAACTCCAGATCTTTTTTCCTCAACTTTCAAAGGAAGGACAAACAGAAGTCACAGCATTAAATTCTCCTCAAAGTGCAGCAGTATTGACCTTAAATAACTGGGAGGAACTTGTTGCCAATCAATCATCGGGAATGGTGATAACTGTATGCAGACGCATCATGTTTTAAATCCCATATCTTAAATGTGACCCCAACTGTTTGAAAAATCAAAACACTTACATTCACAGTATCACAGCCTTCTTGCAATTATTTTCAGTCATCTGGATATAGCTCAGTCCATCAAAGTTCATTTTTAGGTTAATTTTGCCTGAATGCTGATGGAGCTGACTTAAGGAAGATCACTGCTGTTTGTTTGACCATTTTCCCATTGGATCTGCAGTACGTAGCAGAAACATTGTTGGGAGTTTAGCTAGCCCATGCCACACTGACTGAAACTGCTGGCCTTCCAGGTGATATCTACATCTCCATAATTTTTTTCAAGTAAACGCCCTATATATTTTCAACCTTTGACAACTGTCAAGGTCCAAGAACATTTGATTTCTTGGTGCTACTTCAGGTGTAGTTTATCATCATGTGCTGGAGCTATCTGTTCAGTGCTTCCACTGCTGGCAGTGCCTCATTAGTTGAAAAACTCCTATGGTTTCTCATCTGTTTGAACTTTAGTTTGATGTTAAGTTTGACTATTATTGAATTTTTGAAGGATTAGCATTGATCAGTTGTTCAAGTTTCAACCCATCAGTTCTTAGCCTTCTGCACTTTTTAACACCACTGCTGGGACCAACTTAATGTGTGAAGAATAATATTACTAAAATCTATGTTCAGTTTTGTATTCTTTCCTAATCAAGTGGTCAATAACTGCTGGCAATGAAATGGCCTAAATATATTAACTTGCATGTGGAGCAAAGTAGTTGAATAAAGAGTGATTCTCTATCTTTTTATGCCTCAAGCATATTTAATTTTTGCTGTGTTCTCTGCATATATTTCTGCATTTCAAAGCCCTGCCAGTTTGCTTTGTCTCCTGGAAATGATTTAGTACTTTGTCCTGATTTTTTTTTTGAAACAAGAATTAACATTTCAGGAGCCTGTTTATGCTCTGCCCAGATTAGCATTTGGCAAATCTAATCAAATATCTCTTAACAGGTGAATAACAATATTGATGTGATTCTGTGTTCAGTGGACCTTCTGTTTAGAGCTAGAGAAGAAAAGTCCTGTTTTGAAGTTACAATGCTGTTCCAATGTGGGCCCTGTCCCAACCCCCACCACCTTCAGTTTCTTATTTTCAGATTTTTAAAAAAATCTCAACTGCGTACCACCATCTCCACAATAATGTACACATTTCTATTACAGGTGTTAGGACAATAGATAAGTGTAAATATGCGGCAGAGAAACACAATACTGATGGATGAGTATAAGATCAAATGAAATGTCTTTAATCAACATTAGCAGTTGCTCATTTGTGCTTTTTCGTTTCTATGATACAAAGCTTCTGGATAATTGTAGGACTCTAATATAAACAACAAAGCCTTGAATAGTTTGCCATCAGAATGCTTTGCTTTGATTTTGTTATTAATTTTAGAGCACATGCCTATTTCACAAGCAGTTTTTCTTACAGTAGATTAGTTTTACATAACTCTACAGTAACTCAATTATACATTGTTCAAGAAGTACAGTTACAACATTTAAGATACATTTGGATAAGTACATGAACAGGAAAGGTTTGGACTGATATGGACCAAACACAGTCAGGTGGGGGGAAATAGTAGGAACTGCAGATGCTGGAGAATCTGAGATAACAAGGTGTAGAGCTGGATGAACACAGGCCAAGCAGCATCAGAGGAGCAGGAAAGCTGACGTTTCGGGTCTAGACCCTTCAGAAATGGGGGAGAGGACGGGGATTCTGAAATAAATAGGGAGAGAGGGGTAGGTGGCTAGAAGATGGATAAAGGAGAAGATAGGTGGAGAGAAGACGGAGTACCTGGTTTGCTTCAGGACGTGGTCGAGCAGTTTTAGGGCTGAAGAGATTAGAGGTTTTTTTTTTGGGGAACATGGTTGGCGTGAACTAGTTGGACCAAAGTGTCTGTTTCCATGCTGTATGACTCTATATAACTCTATAATAGCTACTTTAGTAAGATACTAATCATAAGTAAACTCAAAAGATGGAAATAGATTTGGCATAAAAATATGCAAATCTGTTCTCCTAACCAGTGTTCCAATGGAATCCATGTCTAGAGGTGCAGTACATTCTATTTTTCTAATGTCTAAGAATTGGCTGAACTTAATATTCTCAAGTTTAGCCTTGATTCTCCTGTTGTAATGTTGAGAATCGCCTGCTATTGCTTAGGGGGATGGGAGCGAAATGCAAGCATAAATTTTCTTGGTAATTCGTTCCGCAGTAATAGTTGAGCACTTGGATAATAAAACATGCTTTAAAGAAAAGGTACTGAAGGTAGTGTTCCTACTCAATGTAGTACCTTGTCTTTGCACTTTATTGGAACTCAAAATTTTGGAGCTCCTCAGAGTTGTACAGCACGGAAATAGACCCTTTGGTCCAACTTGTGCATTCCAAGCTGATATCCTAAACTGATCTAGTCCCATTTGCCAGCATTTGGCTCATACTCCTCTATTCATGTACCCATCCCAGTGCCTTTTTAAATGTTGTAATTATACCTACCTCTACAACTTCCTCTGGTAGCTCCTTCCATACACACACCACCCTCTGTGTGAAATAGTTGCCTGTCGGGTCCCTTTTTAATTCTTTCCCCTCCTCACCCTAAACCAATGCCCTCTAGTTTTGGACTCCCCTACCCTGGGAAAAATACCTTGGCTATTCACCTTAACTATGCCCCTCATAAACCTCTAAGGTCATCTTTCAGCCTCTGCTGCTCTAGGGGAAAAAAGCCTCGGCCTATTCAGCTTCTCTATAGCTCAAACTCTCCAATCCCAGCAACATCCTTGTCAATCTTTTCTGAACCCTTTCCAAAGCAGGGAGACCAGAATTGAGTGCAGTATTCTAAAAGTAGCCTAATGAATGTCCTGTGCAGCTGCAATGTGACATCCCAACTCCTGTGCTCAGTTCACTGACCAAAGAAAGCAAGTATGCCAAAAGCTGTCTTCGCCCTCCCTGTCTACCTGCGACTCCGCTTTCAAGGAACTATGCACCTGCACCCCTAGCTTTCGCCTTCCTTTCCTTCTGTCAGGCTTTCAACTCCCAACAGCTGACATTGGCAATAGGTTCTCCGTTTATCGCTTAGTCTGGTATCCTGCTCCAAGGACCTTGGCTGAATTCTCAATCTAATTATTTCAAACAAAACTTCTAACTAAACATGGTGTGATTGACTTGACCATGCTTTTGCATTATTTCTACCAGAGCAGTTGTCCTTTTAATAAAACTGTGTTCATGACTGTTAGTACTACCAACACTGTATCAATGCAGTAATCCTATTGAGGAAAAATGGTGAGATATTCCAGTACCCCTTTCAGTTCCATTATATTCTCAATATGTGCCAAAACAAATTGCCTCATTGCTTTATGGGAATTGTTGTTACACGTTATTGTTTTTACCCTTGCAGTGGTGATTTTCTCTTACTATCGATGCTGTGATAAGGCACTCGGCAAGCCTGCTAAGGTGTCTTTGTGCAGATGTCTGGAAGTTTTATTAATCTGTTCTCTATGTTCAGTTTGACATTGAAAAGGCATTATCAAGAATAGACTTTCTGGAGTATTCAAATGAATAGTTTGTGCTTGTCACAATATTTTTTACACTTGCATGTGCATTTCTTGACTGTTTTAACTTCAAAAAGGCAAAACAAAATTAGTTTCCATTGCAATGTGTTAATATTGTGATTCATTGTTTGTGATGGGAACAAATTACCTGAAGTGGATTGTCAATTTTTGTGTATTACACATTAACACAAATATATTTATTGAAATCTCAGTAATTGTTGGCTATAATATGATGCAGAATTATACCAACGGCATGGGTTCAATCACGTCAGTTATGATAGCCTCCCACCTTCATTGCACTGATGCTTGATGCAGAGTAGTGCCGCTAAGCTATATACCACTTATCACTCCCTCACAAAGAAAGGTACCTCTGGTCCCTGATGGACTGTAGATAATTACAATGTACATTATTGTAGAAGGTATACTTGTGTAAACTTCAGAACTGCACTTTATCAACAGCACAGACTTCAATCTGGGGTAGCAAATCTTTGAATACCTGAATATATTACTCTGTTACTGACAGGGAAAATATTTGCACAAAAATAATGTGGCTAAGGTCTGGTCTGCCAACTGGGGCATTCTCTGTTTAGTTTCTAGTGTTAGTACAACATTGAAAGACTGATCAAAAACCGCTGCTGGTCTGTGTTTACTTTTGGTCGTCCATAGTAAGTGAAACCAAAAACCTCTTTAAAAATGAATTCCCAAGTTGAACAGTATAACAACTTTTGACAGTGAATGGATTTCCTTGAATTTGTTTCTAAACTTGAGAATACCATTCATATTTCTAAATTGCTCGGATTGCCAGTCTGCAGTTAGCATCTATAAAAACGGGGGAATAGAATGAATGTGGATTTAAATATTTGAACAAATTATTTTAAAATCAGCTCTTTCAACTTATTTTAGTGCTTTGAAATTTAACTGAGGATTTTTTTTTTTTTTGTAGGTTGTACATGGGAGTTTGGTGCCATGGTAAATTACGTAAAGAAAACATTTCCTCAGACCCAGCTGGTGGTTGTGGGTTTCAGTCTTGGTGGAAACATTGTTTGCAAATATCTTGGAGAGAATCGAACCAATCAAGAGAAGGTTCTTTGTTGCATCAGTGTTTGCCAAGGCTATAGTGCTCTTCGGTGAGTTGTTTCAAAATGAAATATGCTTTTATACATTTTTTTATTAAATTGCAAAAACTCTAGTTTGAAGTGTTTAAATGAATTCAGCAAGGCTAAATATTGAATATGGTGTGGTACTGAGCCAAACAAACCACATGTTTTCTATAGAGATAGTGGGAACTGCTGATGCTGGAGAATCTGAGATAACGGGGTGTAGAGCTGGATGAACACAGCAGGCCAAGCGGCATCAGAGGAGCAGGAAAGCTGACGTTTCGGGTCTGGACCCTTCAGAAATGCCCATTAACAAGCTCTACACCTTGTTATCTCAGATTCTCCAGCATCGGCAATTCCCACTATCTCTCTGAATCAATTTTAACCCCACTGCAAAGCTTCTTCTAAGGATGCCTACCTTGAAGAAGTTACCCTCCTCCCTCCAGAAAGGCCTCTGGATCTCTCTCCCACTGCAACCCTCTTGTAATCTCTTCGGCCCTGAAACTGCTCGACCACATCCTGAAGCAAACCAGGTACTACAGCCACATTGCCTTTCTTAGTACCTGCCTATGGAACCAGATCATCCCCAATGGACTACAGTCTACATTCAGGCCTTCCGAATTTGGCCCCAACCACGCCGACCGCTGCACACAGAACATTCAGATCCTCAAACGTTTCTCTCTGCGACAAACCCATTTCTGAAGAAGGGTCCAGACCCGAAACGTCGGCTTTCCTGCTCCTCTGATGCTGCTTGGCCTGCTGTGTTCGTCCAGCTGTACACCTTGTTATCTCAGTTGTTTTCTATGTCAGGTGTTCAGCAAAAGTAGCATTTAAACTTTAACGTTGGCTTGTAGATAGCACAAGGATGTAGTGGTCATTCAGAACTCCAAGTTAATCTTCTTAGGGACATGGGTTTGAATATCAGCATGGCAATCCATCTTAATTGTTCTCTGAGCATTTAAGCCCATGTTCTATGAATTTTTTAAAGTGATTGATTGATTGATTGTTCAGACAGTTATTGAACAAAATTTGGCAACAAAACATGAGATATTGGGCCACATGGCCAAAAGCCCATCAAAAGGTGAGGTCTTAAGTCTTATCTTGGAGGAAGGAGAAGCAGAGAGGCTTAAAGGAGAAATTCAAGATCTTAGGCTAAAGGAACAGCAGCAGTGATTTGAGAAATTGAAATTAAAATTAAAATTGGGTGTTTTTAAGAAGCCAGGATTCACGGTGATGGGCAGGTATCCTTGAGAGCTGCAAACCTGGAGAAACTTGGTGATGACAAGGGATGAAACCATGGAAGTATTTCTAAAGAATGAGAATTTTAAAATCAAGATATTGCCTGGCTGGCAGACTGTCAGTTAGCATAGGGTAATGGACAGTGATACATATTAGAATATGGGTAGCAACATTTCGATGAAATTATGGAGGGGAGGATGTGCCCTGAGATGGGGTACTGGTGAAGGTTTGGAAGAGTTGGGGAGCTTTTTTTCCAGTGTTAAAGAGATGGAAACATGTTGTTTAAGTGGTAACATAGATTCAGAAGCTTTTCTGGCAGTCAAATATGACACTAATATTATGAACAACCTGTTTCAACCTTGCCCTGTTGCCATGGAAAGGGATAGAGTTGATAGCTAAGAAACAAATTGTAGGAGAGACTAAAGCCAATGTCTTTGATCTTCCTGACCTTTAGTTTATGTTCTCATTGTTATTGGATTACAAACAGGAGATCATGGCAACTTGAAATGCAGTGGATGGGTATGCAAAGTTGATAATGAGGTAGAACTGGGTGTCATCAACAGATATATGCAAACTAATTATCTTTGGATGATGTTATGTGGAGAAGCAACATGTATTTGAGAAGTAGGAGGGAGCCAAGAACACATCCTTGGGAAAACACTAGAGCAAATGGTGAGTGAGCAAATAAGCTCTGCAGGTGATTCCCTGGCTATAACTGAATAATTGAGAATTTAAGAAAACAAAACAGACTTCTTGTATGACAAGACTCTAAAGATTATAAGGTATGTAAAAAATCAGGGCTCACTGGAGCTCTACACTCTTGAAGAACAAGTTTACGCTTGTATTTAAGGCCAGTCATAATGAATAGGGCTTTGTAAAAAGAGCTATATGGCTTCTAACATCCTGGAGTTACAACATAGCTCCTTTAGGAGGGAGGAGGAGGCAAAAAAAACCAAACTCTTAAATTGTGTGTGTTTTTCATAAGAATCCAAATTTCATCTGAACTGTTAAATTCTCTAATACTTCAAGCATCGTTTTTTTTTTGCCCAGACTTTACCAGTTAACTTTTTTAAAAAAAAAACTGAAGTTTCAGATGTTGCAGATTCATAAATTCTAGTTTATTGCCCTACTATAACCCCCATGTTGTGTTAGATCAATTTTTTACATTACTTTTTAGCCTGCAAATAAAATTGCTGTCTGTAATAAAAAATAAGCAATGCTTGGCATATCAAAGGTTCTAGTAAATCAAAGAACTGTAGTTAAAGACAGTATATTTAGAATGTCTTAAACACTTAGGACTAAATTAAAGACTTTATACTGTAGAACCTCAGATAACAACATTGAAGTTATAAATTAACTGGAATAAAAACAAAATGCTAGGAAAGCTGAAAAAGTTTGGCAGCATCTATGGACGGAGAAAACGTATTAATGTTTTGGGTTTAATGAGTTTTATTCAGAACTGAAGGAAGAAGTGATAGGTTTTTTATAGTAGAGAAGGTGGGAATGAGCTAGTGATACAGACAGAAAAGAGGTTGGAGGCCAAAAGAGGTTAGAGATCACAAATGTCAGAACAAAAGGTAAGTGAGTGGTTCTGAGAAGGGGTCACCAGACCCGAAATGTAAAGTGTTTTTTTTTCCTTCACGGATGCTGCCAAATTGCTGAGCTTTTCCAGCAACTTTGTTTTTGTCCTGATTTACAGTATCTGCAGTTCTTTTGGTTTTTACTTTGTAAAGTGAGTGCTAATGATCATGGAGGAGTAGAAGAATATAGGTCAGTTCTGCTGAAAGCAAAGCCAAGAAAACCAGACTGTCTTTTGGGCAGATGAGAATCTAAGTGCAGGGCAGATTCTTGATCTGAAGTTGGATTAAATGTGGAGTTCAGAAGTATGTAAAGTCCCTAAACAGAAATTGAAATGATGCTCTTCCTGCTTGAGTTCAGTGCCATGCAGAGACACACAGCAACAGAACAACTAGGACAAAAGTATAAGCATGGGAGCAAGATGATATTAAAATAAAGATACCAGAAATTCTGGCCATGTTTGTGGACTGAGTAGAGGTGTTCTGCATTTGATCCCTCTGGTGTAAATTGTTGCTTTATCTTGAAGAACTATTTTGGGTTGTGGTTTGTAAAGAGCTGAAACAGTAAGTATTTCATCTCCTGTGATTGCATGGAAGAGTACCATGGGAGGTTGAGGGTGATATACTAGTGGACCAAAGTGTGTAACAGAGGAATTGTCCCTTCGTAATGTTGACAGGATGTGGAGGTGCCGTGTTTGACTGGGATGGACAAAGTCAGAAGTCCCACCACACCGGGTCATAGTCCAGCGGGTTCATTTGAAATCACAAGCTTTGAAGTCACCTGACAAAGAGGCTACGCTCCGAAAGCTTGTGATTTCAAATAAACCTGTGGACTACAACCTCGTGTTGTGTGACTTCTGACAATGTTGACAGAAAGGTAGTTGTGTTTGGTGATACCAGGCTGGAGGTGGCAGAAACGACAAAAGATGATCCTTTTGAATCCTTTGTTTTTGTTATAAATTAACTGGCCAGCAGAGAACCTGTGTGTGACTTTTGCATTTCTCACTTGGTTTTATGTTTTAGAACAAGTACGTTGTCTTTTTTTCAAAGAAACCTTTGCAGAAAGCAAATCCAATGCCTATAGTGCCATTCTGGAGCATTGAGAAACTTGAGGTCTAATTAAAATTAAGAAACTCTAAATTTTTGCCATTGAGTACAAATGTAAACATCATCCCAGCAAAACAATCTGAATCTTGTTTTGATCTTTGCTGTTAAACCACTCCCAGGCTTGCTGTTGAGCAAACTTCAGAATAGGTCACGTTATTCCCTTCTTTGTCCTAAAGTTAAAGCTCCTCCTCCTCCTCCTCCTCCTCCTCCTCCTCCTTCTTCTTCTTATGGGGGTGGGAGGATCCATAGTAAATCTTTTTAATCATTGGAATATTGCAGCTTTATAGTCTGCTCAGTACACATTAACATTCCCCAGATTTGAGGTATTTACGATTTTAATGTTCACTGTGTGTCTGAAATATGTAGTTATTTAAGATGCAATATCCATTGTTTTTCTCTTCTGTGCCTTTACTCTTGGATTTCTGTTTCAATTAGATATCAGATCCTTTGCAATTGTCCTCAAAATTTCTTTTCCCCAATGCTCCGGAATGGTGTTATAGGCATTGGATTTGTCAACAGTTGTGCTGTAAATGTTCCATTTGACCTCTTTTATCTTTAGAAGTGAAGACAATTAATTAAGAGTTCTATCTGAATCCAGGTTAATGTGATTCATTCCCTCATAGGGAGAGGGTACAGGAACCCATTTTAAGATCGGGTTATAAACTTCCACAAAAATCAATGAATATCACAGATTGTAAAATTTCTGTGCGGAACAGAGAGAAAAGGCTCCTTGACTATCTGCATATCATAATGAGATGCAGGAGAAAGATGGAATAAACCAAGGATTATGAAAGGCAACCAAGTCTGTATCAACATTTGCATTACTTTCCACTCCTTTCCTCTCTATTTAGTAGTAATGTAGCTTTGTCAAATGTGAACAGTGGCATCTTTTGCATTTTTGGAACCATCAGGCAACAGTTCAACTCTGAATTCTGAATACTTCCAACAAAGTAACGCATCTAGCATTTGACTGAAATATCAGATGTTCTTAGATTGAGGCTACAATTCAGTCTTTGAGTCTTTCGACTGAGCTGATGTTATTTCAGTATTTAACACTAGCACCGCACTGAAACACTGAGACCAGCCGTGTCTTGAACAGTTAATGCA